GCCACGGACCGACTCCTCAGCGTGACTTAATATCTGAAATGTGTGGTGGAGTGTAAAGACCTCCATCACTGACACTGATGTTTCTAATTGAACTCCATCATATGACTGTGAATATCTCAAAAATCGGTCTAAGCTGAAATCACACAGAAGTGAACTCTGTTATCAAATCAGGCGTAATTGTAATTCGATCATGTTTGCACTGTTTGACCTGTTGAGCTTGTCTTGTTGTTTACATGCATGTCTAAATATTTCTTCTACCTTGTATATTTTATATTTTCTTCTGTTTTTGCATTATTGTTATTATTGTTCTTAGGTATGCCGCATCTATTGATTTATTCCTTCCCTTTCTACTTTGCTGCTATAACAAAGTGAATTTCTGGGACTAATAAATTCTTTCTTATCACTGTGATGGAAATAACTGTAAACAAAGACGCCAAATAGTTCTTTCTTTTTTAAAAAGGAGTCTGGAGACATGTCACTGTGCTGGTGATATCCATGCCGATGATTTGATTTGATGAAGACTTTATTTGTGACTTGCAGTTGCCTGCAGCAAAATTGGACCTCTTCCAACCATACATACATTACACAAACTTCACATTGGGGAGACAGGTCAGAACAGGTAGCGTAAAGAACAACAATGAAATGTTCAACACAAAAGGGCAGTGGAGGAGAAAAACTCTGCTCAGACTGAGCTCCTGATTGGCTAGTTTCTTGGTATGAGAACAGAAAACAAAAACTCCTCAGCACAAAAGCACACGAATCTTCACACCATAACACCATGGAAACACATGACAAGCAACAGGGATGGGTGAGTAGGGTTAGAGTAAGCCAATGTAGACGGCAGCATCAGGTCATCTCTGCGCGTTGCAGCTGACCCACCGTCCGCATCGGAAGGGGGGGGGGATTGGAGGTGATGACGGTGGGTCGGTCCCCTCATCCAGAGTATCAGCTGACATCTTTGAGCTTGATGCCTGCTGCTGTTACAGCTACTCCACCCCGATCAGTTTTCTGTAACTCATCACACGTAGATCTCAAAGTATGAACGTCATTTATACTGTGAGAACAGAGCAGCTTAAAGGTGAAAATTTCATTATATCCTCGACCTGTGTACACAGCAGGCTTGATCATACCCACGTGAAGACTAAACACCTTTGGCTCACCTCATCTGGTCTGGCAGTGGAAACCAGGGCTCAGGTTGGACGAGGCCAGGAACTGCTCGGTTATGGTGGAGAAGCCACCAAAGATGGAGGGGGAGCCTTGTGAGGAGTAGCAGCAGGAGATGGCTGGCCGATGACCTGGACTTCTTTGGAGGCTTCTAGGATGAGGGTCCCAGTGGGGGCTCTCCCAGATGTTAAATGCTCCTTCTAAAATTAGGCATCAGTATGAGATAGTAAATGCAGTGATTAAAGAAAAATCTAACTCAATATGTTTGTTTTTAAAGCACTTTGGATGTGAAACAGAGAGAATTTGACACCGTTTTTAGTAATCTGCTCACTCTTTCATCAAAGCCTTCACTTGTAGAATCAGGTGTTTTATACAGTGTGATGT